AAATAAATAAATAAAAATAGAAACATAAATCCTGCTTTGAGGTTCAGAGAATTCTAGGCTTTCTTGAATTCACCTCATCACTCTATTGGAGAGAGGGAACCTACATGAAGAGAAAGGTTTCAATCAATCTTTTGGTTTTCTTTTGCAGAAGTGGACTGTAGAAGAAAGTGAGTGGATCAAGGCTGGAGTGCAAAAATACGGGGAAGGAAACTGGGCTGTCATTTCTAAAAATTACCCATTTGTTAACCGAACAGCTGTGATGATTAAGGATCGCTGGCGGACCATGAGAAAACTTGGCATAAACTGAAACAGGCTTTCATTTCCACAGAATTCACAGGAGCATGGTTCCTAATAATAGCTCCTGATAGTTTGCTGTTTCTTTCAAAAGCTGGGCTGGGATGAGAATTTGGGCAGCCTCCTTCCACGTGGGGGAGGTCCCACCTCTATTTCATCACTGTCGGAGATCATGGAGCTAAGAAGCAAAGCCAAGTCCACCCATGTTACTTGGCAGAGATGACAGGCACACAGCTTGTACAGTGCCAGAATATCATTAGTGTTTCCCTTCTTTAGTGGTTTGCTTAAATTTAAATCCCTGATAACCTATAGAACCTTCTCCTAGAAAATGGTGGAGTCTATTAGGAGCCACTTATGACTCTATGACCTGTTAAAACCGGCGACATGAGCATTGGTTGGAGTGAACTTGTTCCACGTTTAAGGTTTTGGACTGTGATGCAAATGCAAAGGAACTTTGTTCTGAGCCCGTGGTGATGAGAGACCAGTCCTCATAGAGATTCCCTTTCAAATCAGCTTAGCCAGTTTATGACAACACTAGACCTGACTGCCTCAGCATTTGCTCCTAACATCTGCTGGGCTATGTACGCAGATTTGTCCTCCACTTCTCATGTGGTTGAACCAGTGTGTATTTTGGTAAAATGGTGACTGTAGATAAGCTTAGCACTCTCACCCCAGCCCCTGCCTCTTTTCCCAATTCCTTTCCTTCTGCTGGAATTTTAAAGCTTAAAAAAAATCTTGATTGACTATAAATGCCTAATTCCATTCTTTGTGAAATGGTTGCTTCCACCTAATTTCCCTAATCGTGCTGTGTTAGTGTCTTGCACTGGAATTCAACATTCCCTTCTCCTTTTGTACTGTGTTGTGCTTGCTGTCTCTCTTGGACACTCTTAAAGACTGTCTTTTTAGCAAACAATTTCAGTAAGGTGTTTTCTGTAATCTTTTTTTAAAATAATGAGAACTAATTATTGTCCATACTTGTAGCATTCTTCATTAAAGTCTTGCTTCTCTCAAATGTAAATAACTGTTTAATTGCAGCACAGGTATCCCCAGATGGAGGTACCAAAAGGTTGAACAAACTTTGTTGAACTATTTGATCAAGAAGCTGATGTCAGCTTGGCGCCTGTGGCTCACGTGGCTAAG